CAACCTTTGACCTCGTATATTCTAGTAAAGACAGCGATCTAAATGTTTGCTTCATGAACTTATCCGTGACTAATTAAGACGATGTCAATGTCAATATTAAAATATAATTATTAGATGTTTTTAAGGTCATTAAATGTAGTTGTGTGATTTTGCGTACGTCGGCACGACTGTACTATCAATTGAAAAATCGATGTCCTTTCTCAACATAGATTTGGATTTGTCTGAACTGCCTGAATGGCCGTCGTAGAATACATACGATATTAATGTAATACATGTCTTATAATAATACAGTTAATATTTAATTAATATTTGTGTAGATTCCGTAGTATTGATGTTTGTGTCGCTTGAATCTAATCGTGTCGTTTGAGAATTCTTAATGTGTCAATTACGTTAAAAAATGTTCATTACATTGTTCATTACTTTTTTACATGTATGTTATACTAAATATCTTTTATTTTATTCAAAAATTTATATTCATAAGTTGTAAATGATTTTATGATGTAATGAAATCTTCTCTCAAAATATAAAACACATTAACCAAAAATCGTATTAAATTATACTCAAGCAGTCGAAGTAGCCTATAAATGTTTGCTTAGTTATAAACGTTACAAAATAATTTCTTAATTATTATATAACCATTTATTTTACAAACATTAAACAATTGTTCATAACCCTTACATCGAGTGTGTTCATCCCATGTTAATTTAAATAACTTTTGTCGAACTTTTTCGTGATAATTTGCGTGTTTATGAACCATTGTGTATTTTATAATTATATTGTAAGAGTTGTGTACTATTTGGAAATATTTTAAAGAAGCTTACTGGGTCTGTTATATGGTTATATTTTAAACCTTATTCCTCCTTAGTCCTGCTGTTTGTTAATCATTTATTAAATTTTAATATGTTGTAAATTGATTTCGATGTATGTATTGCAAATTACAAAAGTGATAAAAATAAGGTGGTTTTCTTTTTAAATATCCTAATAAAAGTCCTGTCGCCACTGGTAATAATTTTATCGAAAACATAATTAAGAAATAAATTATTACAACAGGAAACAGCTAAATGTACGTTAACGCTATAAATATGAATAACTCGTGATTTATTCTAAGACGAATATATTGACCCATCAAATATCAGTCAACGCCATATTCAATCACTTTTTCTCCGCGTTATGTTCATTAAAAAAAAAACCAAAGATGTGATGATTTTAGTCCGAAACTATGGAAAACCAGATTTATTTCTCACTTTTACGTGTAACGCCGTTTTAATTTATGGGCAAAATTTAAACCGAACTATTATTTGCGGTCAGCGGTCTTTCGATCGTCATGACATAATGTCAATGGTATTTCATTTAAAGAGGGAGAAATAAAAAAAATTGTTCATCAAAGACGAAATATTCGGAAGCTTTTATGTTTGTGTCTGATCATTTTTAATTAAAATTTTTGTTAAATAGCCGTGCGAAAACGTGGCGGTCCGCTAGTATGAGATAAAAAATTTTATAGAGCTAATCTCTGAACTTCAGATGAGACAATAAAGTCAGCAATGCAAAATGCGAAAAAACAATGATATCTCAAAATGGCTTCAGTACCATTGGCCATACATTACTTCGTACACACACTGCAGCAGATTATACAGAAGACCGAAGAGAATAATTTACCTTTATGCCTAGCGAAATGAACTATGAGAAAGACCAATTCCTTGTCGATTCAAATTGTATCTAAGCTCTGTCTTACGTCAAGATGGCAATGAGGGGCAGTCATCATGCTGGAACACCACTCTATTAATCTCATCGTGAAATGCATTCGAAAAATGACAATTGAGATTTTACCAATTTTATAAGATACGGCCATGAAGCCATTGACATCAATATATTATAAGTTATGTCTAAAGAATCATATAAATATATTATAAACCATTTAATATTAAGCTGTTAATTTGGTAACGCTTCCTTTTTTAAGAGGATATTGGGTCGTAGTCACATAATTGAGAAATTTTTTTATTTGTTTTTTATGATTAACATAATTATATACATTATCATGAGGGTGTCCACAATATGTAGGTGCATCGTAATAAACGTTTCAAACAAACTGAGATATTTAAGTAATTTCTATCAGGAAAACTGAGTAATGAATATCTAAAAATATATATCTATAAAACATTCTCTATATATTTACTGGACAACGAAAATAAATGCTTAAGCTGTGTTTGTATCCCCTCACATCTCTTCGATCTAGGCAAATGAAGGGGACTAGTTTAAATCCTCGATGTCTAATAGTAAAAATTTTGTTAATTCTGCTGCCTGTCCATCTATCGGCTGGCTTAGAGAAGTTGGAGCACAGATATAATAATAAATAACAAAAGAAATGACTGAGTGAAAACTATCAAAGGAAATTTTAGAAACTAACTTATTATAGTTACATAATATATAATTATTCTGGACTACTGGATTCAAAAGAACACTAACATAATGGTAAACATACTTATAAATATAATATCATATACAAAAAGTCATACACGCGTAAATACATAAACGTATACAAACTCTTATATTTATATAGGAGTGGACTGATGCTGCCGATAGCCAAAGAAGAATAGATTGGATGAAGAAAGAAGAGTGCATGAAATCAGAATCACCGAGGTTTCTGGTTTCTCAACATTATACATGTCCCACGGCTGAGCAAAGGCTTCCTCTGTACAGTGGTTATTAAGGCATAGTCCACTACGCGGCCCCACTGTGTATTGGTGGACTTCACGTATCTTCGAAATATTTGTTTTTTGTCGTTATTTTGAAAATATGTTTCCTCACGATGTTTTCCTTCACCACTGAGCATGTGAAAAGTCAGCACTAAAAATTAACAATTCCACTAGCCGGCACCCGGGATCGAACTCAGGATGCTCGAGTAAACTGAATTAAAGGCGAGCGCCCGAGTACACTGATCTATTACGGCTCTATTAATTATCAAATATAATTCTTTACACATATATTTTTATTCAAACGATACCCGATGGTATTGAGGACTGCTTAGGGCACACTGAGATGTTGCAGATGTATTAATCTACTCTACACAAAACATTTGTATCTCATAAAAAAATGTGGTAGAAATAAGTTTTTAAAACAAAAATCTCGATCAAATGTATCCAACAAAAATAAATACTAGTAAATCCGCTATAATGTACATTTTAGAAAAATGAGGTAAAATTAATATTTGTAGTGCATTGATTATCTCTACTCGTTTACTTTTTGGAAAGCAAAAAAATTATTAATACGGTTATACTATTATGAGTATTTTTTTTTCTTTACTGAAACGTATCGTTATTTAAATGAAAAACAATCAGTATTACAAGTTCTTAGGTAATGTGTCACGTTAACGTAATAACACAAATTTAAATTTTATTTTTTAAACATTATTGTAGTTTTTGTTCGTTTGATAGCTTTATTGTTTTAAAGTGACATCTTATAATGAGCAAAAAATACATGCATTTTAAAAACTGCTAAGGCTTTTAAATTATACCTTAACGATTTAATTTGTTTAATCACCGGCGAAAAACGTATATACTAATTACTTACGGGGCAATACCAGTACTTTAGTCACCGGTCAGAGTAATGGATAGAAATAACAAATGTTGTATTTTTATTGAGCGCTATACAATTCTTACAATAATATTTTTTAGTGATACATAATACTACAGAGCGGTCTGAATTGTTATGTATAACTACATATTACCACAGCTTCAATTTGCTCGATATTATAGGTCCAGTATGCTATTTTTCATTTATCGATACATACTGCTAATATACTACAACATATGAATGTTTGATGATTGTATGAATACAATTTAATCTTGATTAATTCCTAATTTTATGAGCGATAGGACTCAATAAATGTTCTTTTTTATTTCTTTGCTTAAAATAATCTGTGTGATTTTTTCGTCGTGAACATATTGTAAGTAGTTTTTAACATTCAATAAATCGAATAATTTATTTCATAAAACCTGCCTTCAGAAGAAAAAAAAACCTTTAAAATTAGTTAACCTATCATTAATATCAATTTTAATAAAAAGTAAATAGGTTTTTTTCTTTATAGTCTTTAATTTAAAAAAATCTGAACTTTAATTTTGCTGACATATTTTTACACACGATATTTTTCCAATAGTGGGGATGGAATCCACACACTCTGGCTTAAGAGGCAGATTCACTTCATTCACTCACCCCGCCAATCACGTCGTAATTTCTTAATAAATCGTTACTTTGTTAATCAACGTGTTTAAAGGCTGCCAGCAACGTTTTGCCTTTCATTGACGATTTTGTTTGTAACAAGTTTCAGACTAGTTAAAAGTACTGGCTACCAATAAAATGTGCTTCGATCCTGATAACAGCAGGTAAATAGTATGAGTACCTATATTAAACATATGTATTAGTACTTTACAGAAATATTCCCGAGCTTTAATGTGTTTAAATTAACTGTCATCACTGTTGAATCAATTTTTCGTTAGAAAGGACAGCTTATAACTGTGGTAGGGCCATGAAACAGCTTCGGCTGTTGCACGAATGGGCATGCCTGTCCGGGTAAGTACCACGAGCTCACCGAAAACCGATGTGAACTAGACGTGACATACTTCTGCATTTCGTCTGGTGAGTGAGGAAGCCGGGGCGCACTTTATTAAAAGGTGGCAACGGATCTGCAACCCTACGGGTATTGCAAATGTCCATGGGCGGCGGTTGTATCGGATGCACCGCCGCTCGCTTACCACCTTCTCACATAAAAAGGATAGCTATAGATTAAATAAAACCGACGCTTGTTTAATATTTAATTAAATTTAGTCATACTAAACTACAGTTGAAATCGAATTAATAAATTGTTCAGGTTCTCTTATGTGTTTTCTCTTTGTTTCAGGAAGCCCATAATTCTACTTATGGTATCGATAATTTTATATAAGAATGCCAATGGAGCGACACTCTGCCCACACATATGCACGTGTCAAAATGTATACGATGCCAAAATGGGTTACGTGCTTCGGATTGTCTGCTCTAAAGGCAAAATGGAGACTATACCCGTGAGGTCATTTGATCGCAGGGCTCAAGTTATAAAAATTTCAGCTCCCAAGGACCGTCCCAATAAACTCACTGTTGGTCCTATTTTTCTCCGTCCGAAGCTGTTTGAGAATTTGCGGGAGCTGCACATCATAAATTCTAGCGTGCCTTACATTGGGGAAAATTCATTTTGGGGACTTAAACATTTATCGATTTTAAATCTATCTTACAATAATCTTACGGATATTAGACCTGATGATTTTAGAGGACTGATAAGCCTCTTAGAACTTAATCTTGATCACAATTATATACACAATATGATGAATGAAACATTTAAACACATAACGACATTAAAAACGCTGATAATGTCACATAATCAAATATCCGAATTGGTGTCGAGGCTGTTTCGCACGCTACAAAGTCTTACTCATTTGGATTTGAGTGATAATCCTATATCATATTTGGATCCAGAAGTATTCATGGATATTATGGACTTAAAAATTTTTAAATGCAGAAGATGCCTTGTGAAGAGAGTCAACCTCTATGTTTACCATTTGGTTAATCGATTAGAGGAACTAGACTTAGGGGAGAATCAAATCAAGATTTTAGCTCTTGACGAGTTTGCCAATCTGACAAAACTTAAAACGCTCAGATTGGATGGCAATGAACTGCCTGTGATTGTAAACAAAATGTTTGTAAAAAATTATGAGTTAAAAATTTTGTCACTTCACAACAACAGAATTATACTGCTGGCACCTGATGCTCTTGCACACCTAAATTCGCTTGTTGATTTAGACATAAGCTACAATAGAATACAAAGTTTTCAATTGCAAACCTTCTCATCAGTAGCGCGGTCATTGAAAAGAATAAATTTAAGCGGAAACAATTTACCTCCACATGAAATTGCATACCTTCTTCAAATATTACCCAATATAAATACTGTAGGTTTGGCCAGTTTGTCGTTTGAAGAATTACCTCCCAATTTTTTTAAATATAACAAACGCTTATATGAATTAGATTTATCTTTGAATAAGTTTAATAAATTTCCTGTCCAATTGCTGGCTAAACCGAATTTTCTGCAGCGTCTTGACTTATCGCGAAACAGAATTGAAAGGTTGGAGGACGAGGATTTAATGAGATTGGAGGCGATTGGCCACGTGGACTTGTCAGGGAATCCTTGGAGTTGCAACAAATGTTACGTTGGGACGATGTTCGTATGGATGGCCACTACCGTCCTGAACGGTACCCTCCGTGATCTAACTTGCAACACACCTCTGCGACTGCGCGGGATACCATTTTCAGTGTTGACCATCGAAGACTTGGATTCATGCTATAATGATTCTGACGTTCATATGCGCGTATTAGCGGGTTTGCTGCTAATTAGCTTTGCGGTCTTCACGGGTATCACGGTGGCTATGTGCCGCTCGCGCCTTCGGGCCGCTAACAACTTCACCAACGAGAACAAGCGTAGTGAACGTGAACACGAGCATCCGGAAGAAGTTCTCAACTGCACTGAGCCCAGCACTGTGGCCCCCATCCACGCCCCCAACCGCTTGGTATCTCAAGACAGCTAACAACGAACCCATGCACCGCCAAGGCAACAGCGGCACCATGTGAGATTTGATCCAGCTCTTCCCTCTGACTCGGATGAGGATGACTTAAGCATAGAAAATGCGTTTCCCCTATCTTACTTTTTAGATCGTACAACGATTCCAGTTACCAGGGTTGATGAGGATGATTTGGTTTAATAATATTTTTATCTAATAAGTCTTTACCTAAGAAATTGCTGTTCTTTATACTGGCCATTTCAAACAAAAAAAAAATTAATCGGCTGTGAATTTTAAATTCAAAAATTTTGTTTTTTAAACATTAAATTCTTTTTACAAAGTCAGTCTTTCGTTTACTTAGCTTTGTATTTTCATTAAATTTGAACATTTTCCGTCATAAAGGATACTTAAAAATTCATTTTATTATGGAATATGACTTCCGTTGTAACACCAACGCGGCACAAACGGTGGGTATGTAACGTACAACCCGTTATTGGTTTGCCCGGTTCCTTTCTGAAAATTTTGACTTGAAAAATGAACCTCGTTGTCGTGCGGACACTTTGGTCAACACTGTGCAGTAAAAATGCCTTTGAACAGTTTATTGCCTCCCGTCCAGCTGATTTTTACAAGAAGGGCTTCAATAATCACTACTGTGTTGGCAAAGATGCACCGATTGCATAGTCGATTACTTTGAATAACAGAAAAGAATCTTGTAAATAAACTTTAACTAATTTCATACAAAACGGCAATTTCATGAGTAAATACCTAATATTTAGTGTTTTACATGTATCATACATACTATTATGTTAAGATTAAAAATATTGTATGACAACAATTAAGTTAAAGACGTATTCATAAGACTTTTTAAGATAATATTAAGGCTTCGTACTTTTTTTAACTTATATAGGCATACCTTATTACCGCAAGCATTTATATTTTTTTTTGGAATGAGCCACTAAGATTTTTATTATTTTGTACTCCTTTTCTAAACACAAAACAAACTTAAATATCAAATTTTACTACATAACAGCTTCTCTTACCAACTTATTTTCAAAAGTTGTATGTAACGCACATTTAAATTTATTATCTAATTCTTATTATTTCATTATTTAATTTTTTTACACATTCTATTAAATAACTCCAGGGATGTGTTATACGAGTCAAGTGGTATTGATATAATTATATACTTTCTAATTATGTATATATGATAATAGTTTGAGTATTATTCTCACTTATTTTACGCGCGATCATTCATAACTACCACGCACAAGTTCATTTGTGTGCGTGAACAGTAAAATTTAGGTATTTATTATAAATGCTTACCGTGTTGTCAACAAGTTCCGTATTTTAGGGAACAGAATGATTTTTTTTATTTCAATAAACTATTATACTACCGAGTCTGAACCTCCAGTGTAAATTTGGGCAACTTTAAAAAAGCCTACCTGTATGTATATTACAGTAAATATATTTCTGGAAATAAGCGATATTGTCATTATCGTAATAAAAACGAATCACAATGTTAAAGAATTATATAATAGTAGATTAGTATTTAGTACTATTATGCAAATGGTACTGTATCTTAGTATTTAAAGTTACGTAGGAAATTGATATTTATATGTATATGTGTTCTGCATTTGGCTCATTTGGTTTCCTTTATGAAATTACACATTCATTACTAATATTCACCTTTTATATAAATATCATACTTTTCATAAAGTTTTACTTCATTGGAAATCATTTAATTTATTTATAGGTTCAAAAATTATTTTAAAAATTTTTCGGTTTCGCAAAAAAACTTCTTTTCTTATCTTTAATATATATAAGTAAGTTGCATTTGCGGTTTTATTATATTCAACTAAAAGTCTTCTCTTGTGGTTTTCCTATTAATTTACTTTTCAATAATGCTTTCACCCGTAAACAAGCGTTTAAATAATTATGAAGATAGATTAGAATAAGAAAGAGATACCCTAGTTTAAAAAAATACCTCTATCTTATAGTTTTTAAGGGAATTCAATTTTAAATGTAGGAAAAAAGTAGGCTAGAACGCCAATGAATGTAAGGAACTATTAGTAATAATTAATAATATTAATAATTTATCATAACAAAAGTAGTATAACATACTACCATCTAACATACTACCATCACGTCTGCAGTCGCGGCGGTATGGAGGACTTATTAAAGGGTCAAGGTCCCCGAATGTACGTCGTGTGCCCAAACCGTCTGACTCAGTGAATGTTACTGAGGCTGGATTTGTCGTCGGCTTGTATGACGTTTACATGCATTAACATGCGCGATTTCGGTCGAAGTTTGTGCCAACCCACTGCAGGAGGGCCAAGCTCTCTTTATGCTTGATCGTTTCAGCTTTGCAATGGACTACTATCTTTTCCCCAACTTCTCGTTCCTTCGGGGGAGCGCGATTGTTGGTTGGCGCTCACCGCACACGGCGTTGGTGAGTTTTCATGGAGCCGTGTGCCTCCTCACATTTTTCATAAATGTGAGAAGTGAATAATTTGTTTTCTTACAATGGTAATCTTACAATATTAGAATTGACAATTTTGGAGGACTGATAAACCTTACAGAACTGCCTCTTGATCACAATAATAGACACAATATGATAGGTGAATTATTTAAACATCTAACGGCATTATAAACGCTCATAGTGTCACATAATCAAATATCTGAATTGGTGGAAACGTTGTTTCGAACGCTTGCAAGACTTTGATTTGAGGATTTGAGTGATAATCCTATATCACATTTGGATCCAGATGTGCTCGTGGATATTCTACGCTTAAAAATTCTTAAATGCAAGGAAGATAATTAAGAAGGTGCCTTGTGACGAGGGTCAACCTCTATAATTTGGTTAATCGCTTAGAGGTCCTATTTGAAAGGACGAATTTTGAGAGGACGAATTTGAAAACCTGACAAAACTTAAAACGCTCAGATTGGATGACAATGAACTGCCTGTGATCTTAAACAAAATGTTTGTAAAAAAATATGAGTTAAAAATGTTGTCACTTCGCAACAACAGCTGGCACCTGATGCTCTTGTACATCTAAATTCGCTTGTTGATTTAGACATAAGCTACAATAGAATAGAAAGTTTTCTATTTTCTTTTCACTACTATAAGCGGGAACAATTTACTTCAGTAAGGGTAACTTTACAATTTACTTCCTTTCCAATTACGGGCTGAACCGAATTTTCTGTAGCGTCTTGACTTATCACGAAACAGGATTGAAGGTTTGTAGGCCGAAGATTTATTGAGATTGGAGGCGATTGGCCACGTGGACTTAGGGAATCCTCTGCGGCCGCACGTCTGCAGTCACGGTGGTATGGACGGCTTATTACACAATGTTTGGGTTAACCCACTGCCGAGGGGCCGAGCTCTCTTAATGTTTGATTGCCAGCTTTGCTATGGACTTCGATCTTTTCCCCCAACTTCTCGTCCCATTTCGGGGGGAGCGCGTTCGTTTGGTTGGCGCTCACCGCACACGGCGTTGGTGAGTGGTTTTCATGGAGCCGTGTGCCTTCCTCACATTTTTATAAATGTGGGGGAGCGAATGATTTGTGCCGGGTTTTATTTAAATTTGATGTCACATCAAATTTAAATAATTACCCGATACAAATCGTTTCAAGCGAGATGGGGGTACTAAATACTAGCAATACTATATAATCTGGGCCTGTCTCAAGCTAGTCTGGATTAGATAATAAGAAAGTGGTCTAGAATTATCTCTGGCATGGAATCTACACCGCTCATGGTATGGAATAATTATCCATCCGAGAAACACCTAAGAGAATATGTTTTAGTTTAATAAAATGACAAAAAATAAGTAAAGTTATAATAATAACGGGTAAAGATATAAGTAAATAATAAGTACTAAAGATATGTGTAAGAATACAAACCGATCTTAAATTATCTCACTGTTTTTTTTATGGACAAAGGGGGCAAACGGGCAGGAGGCTCACCCCACCGAAAGTTTTATCGTTTTATTGAAACAACATGTACATTCATTTATGTTTCACTACAATCATCATTTCATCTCATGATACATTGTTGTAATTTTAATAATTAAATTATAAACTCATATTACTTTTTTTTTCATAAATTTTCTGTGCCTTTTTGTAATTGTATTTGCGTTTTTGAACTACTTAATGGTACATCTATCACATTACATTACTCTTACATTACTAGAAAATGTTTTATTTTTGTTTTGTTATTTGTACTGTAAACTGTCGAAAATGATCAATTTTATACTTAAAATTTTATTTTGAGTGAGCATATCCCAAAATTAATATTAATGCCAGCATATTGTTTGTGTAAGGTATTATTTTAAGGATCTTCATTTTTGTATAGTATCTTCAAAAATGAAGAATATATAGTAGTAATAAGGTTTAGTACATAATCGTAATAAATATAATATAAAAATAAACAATAAGTAGATTTAGGGTGTTGTGTTGAGGGACATCTCGTTTCTGAAGTATTTACGACTTGCTATATTAAGAACAGGCGTAAGTTCACTTAATTTTTAAGATTAATAAATTCTTCTGTTTCCTTTTGTTACTATCTTTAAAGAAGTTGCGGATTCAGAGGTAGTTAATATGATTACTTTATATTCGTATTGGATTTACTTTTCCATGATCTTAATGTTCTTATTGGTTAAAATATATTGTTTGAATTTTATTTCGCTCAAAATTAAACAACCCATGAGGTTTTAATTGATATGTTAACAAATTAATTACAATTTTATTATTCGAATTGAAAAATACATTACATTTATGTTAATTATATTTTGAACTTCTGACACATACCTAAACGTGACAAGAAAGTACAGAGAAACATGATATATTTATTGTTGACAATAGGTTCATATTTCAGATTTAAGGGATTATTATTTCCTTAATACTAAATTAGGTGCCTCCTTTACGAGATGTCCCCGTGCGCAACCCAAAAACATTTTGGTTAGTTAAATTTTATTTTACAAACTCTTTCGAAATGTAAGGACAGAACACCAATTAGTATTAACATA